TATGGGGATTGTTGAAGTATACAGTACATAGTTTTCATACATGTACAACATTGGTGGATGAACAATGTCTCTTATCAGTAATACTGGATGTAGGCTCTGGTTTTACCAGTTGCATACATTTAGAATATTTATAAGTAAAAATCTCTCGTGACACTGGAAAGTGATTAGAATGTGCAAACTGATGTAGTAGCTTTCATCCATTTCTTAAAGGGTACCACCACAGGAAAGTCCATTTATGATGTTGGTAGGTTTAATAAAGTTGGAATGCTGGCACTGTTGAATTGGGCAACAGTTCTTCAGACCTGTAACAATGAAACAAGTAATTAGCCTCAGAAAAACATGAATACGGACATACTGTTTTGCAGTTAAGAAAATTAATACGTTTTAACTGTTCAACACCTATCTCCAAGACTTTCCTGATGTGATTTTGTCAGGGTCCCCCCGCCCCGAAAAAAGTCTCCCCCCATTTACAGAGGAACTGACCAAAGAGATACACACATACCAAAAAAACCGCATGTGGTGTGTGAGTTACTCGAAACATTATTAGATACAGACATAGTGGTGTGTGAGTTACTAGTCCCCACATCTCTTCTTCCCAACTCCCCAGTGTACTTGTTCATCCTGGGTCTATACAGGGGATTGGACTAGATGATCTCTGAAGCCCATTTTATCCAAATAGTTCTATTCTTTACATGTCTTCTAAAGATCTGATCTTCATAGACAGTTGTGCATTTACCCTGACGTACCTTATTTGCATTCACATACAGAGCCACAAATATTCACTTGTGAAAATCCCAAACCACCATATAGTAGCTAAATAGATTTTGGAACGAACAGCACAGAAGGCATATTTATGAAAGTTATACAAAAAGTGAGATACTTGATGGCACTCAAAAATGTAGCTGAAGTAGTTTTATAAAAAAAGAGCCAAACCGTTATGAACAGTTTTAATTTAAAAGCCTCCCACCCCCCCCCGGCTTGAATTTTCTTCCAAATATGAGTATATGATGGTTAAAGACACACACATTTTTATAAGCACATTAATGTGCATTTTATAACTGTAATTAGAAAAAGGAAGATAACACAAATACTGTTGATTGCAAGAAAATTGGTACACTAATTACATATCAATTTACCTTCGGCCTCAACATACCATAATTATTTGAATATTCAAAGTATCCAGACACCTGATTGTATGTTCATTTATAACTCATTACCTAAGCCTGGGTACAACTTTTCAAATGGACATAACATTCTGTTCATTTACTTGGCATCAAGACTAAATGAACTGATAATAGGATGATGAACACTGGCCTCTGACCCCTATTAGCAGTTTTCATGTGTCATCATTTGACAGTAAGGTCCATGGCCTCAGAGACCAGGGTCCAAAGGGCAGAATTTATACCACAAGAACTACTAAATTCATCTAAAAGCTTATGAGTAAATTCAGGTGGTTTGCTCACTGAAGGTGTGTGGAGCACTTTAGCCAAACCAAATTCAAGGCCATTTTGAATTCACAGTACAAGGCCTTAATCCTACACCAAAATCCACATGGGTGAAATTCTGCACCCAAAGATGCAAGAGAAGAAAGACAGGTGTGCAACTTGTCTGCACAGATAACAGGCTACAACCAAGAATGAATGAAGTTCCACAGAGTCTTGTCCAACTGGGTTTTTGAACACATTCATTTTTTGAAGTACACCAATATATTGGTCACACCAATAACAGGAAAATTAACATAATTGGCAATAAACTTTTTTGGATGATAATGTTACCAATAAATGCTGTGCGCATGTACACATTTGCAGCAAGCATGCAGCCAGGAATGCAGCCCGGAGAGCAGACTTCTGCCTGT